GACCCGCGGCAGCCCCCCAGGCTTGGCTGGGCTCCCAGCACCCCTCTGCTCACATCTCGTCATCGTCGGAGTCCCGGGAGCTCAGGGGGACCATGCACACGCAGCAGGTGTCGTTCAGGGTTTTGTAGCAGTCGCTGCAATACAACCCTGTGGAAAACAGGCCTGTCAGGGGGGACACGGCATTTTCTGGTGTCCCCAAGCTAGAGGGGCACTCCTACCTTTGCAGCCAGGTGTGAAGCAGGCGGTGAAACCTGGCTGCTCTGCCGTCCCACAGGTCAGGCATTGTTTGCTCTTGATGCCCAAGAAGCGAGCGAGGCGGGCGAGGGTAGGGTACCTGCAGGCACAGAAGGATGCTCCCCACCTCGGTGGGCCTGGCTGCAGACCCCCGGGGATACCACTGCCCTTTTCCATCCCCCACGGACAGCTTACCTGGAGATGAGCATGACGAAGACCTTGTTTCTCCCAGCGTCGGCCGTGCTCCGTGCGCCAGCTTGGCGCAGGGCGCGCGCCAGCCCCTCGCGCCGTGCCAGGATGAGGTTGTGGAGGAAGGCCATGCGTTCCTGGCGTGGAGAGGATGGAGTAAGGGCAGGTGGCTGCTGGGCAGGTGTAAAGAGGGACACACCACACACGGAGGGTTCTTACCTCCTCACGGAACGGGTGGAAGGTGGCGCACACGAACTGGCGCAGACGTGCCAGGTAGCAGCCACAGATGGTGATGAAGAGCCAGAGGCCGTACAGGACACCTGGTGAGAAGAAGACAAGGAATGTAGGGATGACTCTCCCCTATAGCCCTCCACCCACCTGGCTCGTTGAGGTGGCAGCACCCCCAGTCTGCACACCGATGGCGAGGTAGGTCCCGTGGTCAGGCTCCATGGGCTGGATGAGGCAGCGCTGGGACAGCACCGAGACTTCACCCTGCTGCAGCGTGTTGAAGGCAGAGACCAGATCATCGAGTATCTCGCTGGTGAAGCCTGTCCCACTGACACTGATGTTCATCGTCAGCGGTGCTGTGGGGTGAATGGCTCAGTCCTGGGGCCATCCCAAAGCCCCAGCCCCCCCGCTGGTGGAGCACCCAAGGGTGCTGCTCCAGCACAGTGGGTGCTGCTCACCTTTGGCAGTGATCTCCCCGCTCAGCTGGTTCTGGAACAAGCCAAGCAGCCAGAAGATGCCATAGTCAGCCAGGATGATGCTGAGCCCCAGCAGCATGTGACGCAGGAACTGCAACAGCTGCAGTACATACAGGCGCCGCTCCTTCTTGGACAGCCACGGCGCACCTGAACGGTGACGGGAGCAGCACGAGGCCACGTCAGGAGTGCCTGACTCCCTGCCAGGCTCGGGGCTGGGCTGGGGGACACCCTGTGTGTGGGGCTGACCTGGGGGGATGTAGCGACCCCTCTCCCACGCCGTCAGGGGCAGCACGGTGTTCCTGCCCTGCTCCGCACGCCGCAGGTCCAACTCCACGAAGCGCTTCGTGATGTAAACGTTGTCAAAAGTGTCATCCCACATGTAGCGGCGCTGGTACCGTACGGCCCTGGGGACACAGTGGGGAAGATGAGTACCGGCACGCCGGGTCCCATCCCACGGGATGCCAGAGTGGCACCCCAGCACACTCACTGGTAGCACAAGAAGAGGAAGAGCAAGAAGGAGACGTAGGACAAGAGCTCCAGGCCGCGGTGGATGGGGTCCAGGTACTCGTGCACGCCCTGCATCATGTCCTGGGACACCTCTGACAGGCTTTTGCTGGCGGTGATGTTCACGTCGTAATGGTGTACGACCGAGATGTTGAACACAAACTCCTCGCGGACGCGATCCAGAGCATCGGTGAGGGCTGCAGAGGTGACAAGAGGCCACACGGTGCTGGGCATCAGGGAGAGAGCTGGGAGAGAGGCACAGAGAGGGAGCCCTGACCCCCCCAAAGGCACCAGGATACTCACGCTTCACGACATTACTGTGAACGAAGGTCTGGATGTACTGTGGGATGATGCAGAAGATGGAGGCAACTGCGGAGAGGGAAATCTCTGCTCCAGCTCTGCCCTTGTGATGGGCACAGGTCCACCCCATCGCCCCACAACCCCCACCCTGCAGAGGGACAGGGACTCACTGCTGTCAGCCACGCTGCACATGGGCTTGACGGCGAGGACGATGTAGCAGAGGTGGTAGAAGAAGGGGATGGAACGCTCGCAGTCCTCCTTGGACTTATCTAGGGAGCGCACGCAGCGGGTGTAGGGCGAGCCCAGCTCCCGGTTGCAGATGCTCCCGATCTTCCCCAGC